TCAGAAAAACGTGTTTCACTATTATCAAAGTAACTTTGTTTTATCATAATTAAACACTAAGATATACAAAAGTTTTTCTTTGTGTGTGTTCATGTTTTTACCTTTAACACCTGTATTGTCAGAAAAACGTGTTTCACTATTATCAAAGTAACTTTGTTTTATCATAATTAAACACTAAGATATACAAAAGTTTTTCTTTGTGTGTGTGTTCATGTTTTTTACCTTTAACAACTGTATTGTTAGAAAAACGTGTTTCACTATTATCAAAGTTGGAAAAATCTGGCGAGATTACGATTTTTTCTTTAAAACATATATCACGTGTGTGTGTTTGCATAGATTTTATTACTTGGTTTTATATTTATTTAGAAATGTATACTTTACCACCTTTGTCGACGAGTTTTAGAATCATATAATTCAGTGGACTGAAAGTACTAACCATTGTTTGTTAATTTTCCTAATCTCTTTCTAGATTACAAGTTCTCTTTGTTTCGCACTTACTGGCTGGTGTGGGCTATTCTATTTGGTGCGAGCGTCAACGTTGATTGCCCTCGAGGGTACACAGCAAAGTTTATGTCTAGCGTGTGGGCAATGTTTGCAGTAGTTTTTTTGGCTTTATACACGGCAAACTTGGCAGCCTTCATGATCACCAGAGAGGAATTTTATGATTTGTCTGGCATTGAAGATAAAAGGGTAAGTCTCGTGGAATCTCTTAGTAATTACTGTTGCATCTTAAACTCCATCCTTTCTTAGAAAGCTTTTAAAAAGGAAATACCAAGGATACGCAGGATTCTATCAAGATGATTATAGAAAATTTACATTTGTTTATCAAACTTGTAAAAAACAAGAAAAGTACACTTTGCTCGAAATATTTTATTGTACCTTAATTGTACATGTTTTGACTCTTAGTATATCACAATCTGACTTTTTCAGTCATATCACATGTAGAATAAGCTTCAATAATCCACAGTCTAGACCTCAAGTCGTACCTAATATATAATTAGCTCCGATGTTCTATAGTCTCATTTCTCGGGTTGTACCATAGTTAAAAAGAGCTTTAATATTCCGTGATGTGGCTTCTCTGATCCTACCATGGTTTAAACTTTCATAGTCCGTACTTTAATTATTTTAATGATACTATATGCGCATAACAGAATCCTATAGTCTGACTCCTCTGTTCATTATATATCTAAAATAGAGCCTAACATTCTGTAGTGTATCTTTCCTGGTCGTAACGCAGTTTAAATTCTGATATTCTATCACTAGAGTTCTCTGGTTGTACCACAGTTAAAATTCTGATAAACCATCGCTGGTTTTATCTAGTCATATTATAGTTTAAGACCTCTGATATTTTATCTCCCGTGTCCTCTGTTTTACTGCAGTTTAAAACCTTCATATTCCATCGCCTGTTTCCTCCGTCGTACTGCAACTTAGAATCTTGATATTCTATCGTCTGGTTTCTATATTGTATTAAAACCTTGATATTTCATTGTTTGTTTCCATCATTTGTAGGCAGTTTAACCTTTGTTATTCATTCATCTATGTCCTTTGTTAGAACATATTCTTAAACATGTTATTAATTCGTCTTCGTTCTGTAGTAGTACTATAGGTTCAAACTGTAGTATTCCACCAACTTAATCATCTGTCTGTGCAATACTTTGAACTCTAACCAGACAGATGATTAAGTCGGTGGAATACTACAGTTTGAACCTATAGTACTACTGCAGAACGAACAAGAGGTTCAAGTGATGAGATCGCAATAGTTTGAACTCTAACATCTCATCACTTGAACCTCTTGTTCATTCTGCAGCTTAAACTTTGATGCTACAAAGTCCATTTTCTCTATTTACACCCCATTTTCTACTTTTATAGTCATCAAAAGAGTAAACAAATAATTTATTTTTGAAATAAAGTTGTTCTCATAAAGCAAGCAGATCAAATTAAAACCATACAAATTCATTCCCTACTGATCTCTCTTGGAACCAGGCATGCAAAATGAAATATGCTTGAACCAATGGAAAAACATTAGCAGCAGAGAAGAATGGCAAAACCTTTTTATCTGGCCCGTCCGTAGCTTTTTCAGAACATTAGTATTATGTTTTCATCGTCTTAAGAATTATTTGAAATGCAAACACGTTATGAATTTTTAGTAAATTCCAGACGTTCTGCGGATTTTTCTTATTTGTGAATTTTTAAAATTCTTTTATCTTTCCCAAAATTCTTGGAGGTTTTTCGGTTATGGAATGTTTTTATCAATTTGTGTGTGTGTTTCTGTATATATATGTTTCGATATGCGTTCATTATTCCAACTTTTTTTCATGTTTCATTATTTCAAAGTCCAGTTTCACTGTTCCCTCTTCTGTCTGAGTTTTGCTATACGTTTAGTGTATTAATTTTTATTTGGACATGGCACAATATATAATGTTTGGAATTAGTTTAACATGGGATTAAATTTAACGTTTGCAAAAATAATGTATTTTTAACTAGGATAATTCTTCTTTGTGGACAGATAATAGAAATTAAACCCAGTTAATTTTACTTTGACCTTTTTTTCCCATTCCACCTATGAGAGTGTGCATATTATTGTTAGTCCTGAAGTTAATCGCATTTTATAAGAGTAATGTTCCATCAGTTGCTTTCTTGGAACCGCATCCTCCATCGTCGATCGTGTTCACCATTGCTCGAAATCACAGTTTTCATTGTAAGAAGCTTCTGTGAAGGACAGCAAGGTCAATTTTGACCAAACCTTTTGAGAAACTTTTCACGGACCGGCTACAGAATTCAAAATATAAAAAAAAGCACAAAGTCACTGGAAGTTCATTGAATGACTTAACAAGTGCGTGTTCGATTGATGAGGTTTCGGTTTATTGGCTCGCCATCTTCTTTATAAAACCTTACGTTGATTTCAAGATGTAGCTGGACAACCTTTGACTTTTGTCAATCTGGACGCGTTGGTAGAGGGACAACTCCCTTTCTAATATTTTACACTTCTAATACGGTTACTAGTTTATCGCGTTAATTGTCGTTCCAGCCGGTAGAGGGACAACGTTTTTGGGTTTTAGGCAAAAACCTACACTTTTTTGCTGTTTGCGCTCTGAAGACCAAGGGCATTGTTAATCCAGAAACTTGCCGCTGATCCACCAGATGACGAGGAACAACAACACACTACCAAATTGTAAGGGTTAAAATTATTAAATATTGACTTTTGAATTTTATAAAATTCTAAAACATAGCATATAACTTTTATTGTTAATGTTCTTACTGGTGGCCGATTTAAAACTAAAATGTTTATATCAAACTTTTCTATTTGTTTGGAGAGTTCAGTAACAAGAGCTATCAAGCTTATTGTGAAGATAATACACTTTCTGTCCTTGAGCACTTATATACCCGTTTAACAAAACAATTTTTTTTCGAAAGACTAATAACCTATTTAGTTAAAATAAATCTTCGAAAGTAACTACTCGATCAACTCAAATCGGTAAGTCACAAAAAATAAGTAGTAGTACATGCAATTCAATAGTAATATATATACAATAATATACTGCTGTTCTTAAAACTTTTTCATCTTTATTTTGGCAATCGAAACTAAAGACGAACTGATAAAAGTACATTTAATCAATCAGTGTAAGGAAGCAATCATTGAATGTAACAAAAATCGTAGATCAATAGGAAATGAGACTGAAAGGCATACTTAGACTATTTCATATTAGTTCTATTTCTAATACTTATATATTTTATCGTATAAATCCAGGGAAAGTTTAGTGTTTGGTCTCCGCTGAAGAAGAAACCCATTGGTTTCTGAAGAGTTTTTCTGCGTTTATTAAAACTGTACATTTGTAAACCTGGGATTTGCATCAATATTTATTTGAAAATATGAGAAAATGAGTTTCAGAACCTATGATAATTTTTAGTATCAATCTCGTTGTTAATTCAAAAACTAGTTTCTTGTGTGTGTGTGTTTTTTTTCTTATAGCAAAGTTACATCGGGGTATCTTCTGTGTCTACCGAGAGAAATCGAACCCCTGATTTTAGTGTTGTAAATCCGAAGACTTGCCGCTATCTCACCGTGGAACCTGGTTTCTTGATACAACATTTCTATATCTCCTGTTTAATAAATATTTCACAGCTACATTTGAGTGCTATGGATTTTTTTTTATATATGAAGCACGTTGAATTCGGGCAAGATAGCAGCACTTAGATACGCATTCTCTGAAACTGTTCCGCTTATATAGTGACACGAGTAGTTATTAATTACCAATGCATAGTTACGTGAGTTAATTTGCTATAATCACAGTATTATATATATGTTCAATTATCATTGTTTAATTGAAGAGTTATTTAACATTGTATAGTAACAAGAATACTTGACACTCAATAGTCATAAGGTTAAATAACACTCTCAATTCATCAGGATTATAACCAATAGAAATCATTAGCACTATAGTCACAGGATAATATAACTCTCTATTGAAACATTGATTAGTTATTACTAAAGCTACAGAGTTAAAGTACACTATAATGTCAGACAATAAAATAACTTACAATAAAAACAGTGATTACGTAACACTAAAACCACAGCGTTAGTGTATACTATATAGCCACAGGAAAGTATAACTTTTTATTGAAACAGGAATTATTTATCTCTACAGCTACAGGGTTAAAGTACTCTACATAGTCAAAGAATAACTTACAATAAAAATTGGTATTAATTAACATTACAAACACAGCTTTAGTGCACACTATGTAGTCACAGGAAAACGTAACTTTTATAGAAACAGCTAATACCGATCACTACAACCACAGCGTTAGTGCACACTATGTAGTCACAGGAGATCATAACCTTTATAGGAATAGCAAATGCTGATCACTAAAACCACAGACTCAATGCACACTGTTTAGCCACAGGAAGACGTAACCTGTATAGGAATAGGGGCAAATTAATCACTAAGACCGCAGGATCAATTGTTAAATGTCTTCAAGCTTAAACGCCCATATATATCACGAGATAAATTAACACGTTTAAGGGCGGAGCTTTTTATTCAGTGGGTCTACATGCTGTTCCATGCCAGAAAGCACGTACAATTCTTACCTGGGGATTCAGTGTCTTAAAGTGACACACCCAGAATTCATGTATTTAACCCTACAGACCATTATTTGGACCATCTGAAGAAATTAAATCGAAATGTTAGCCCAAAATCTTTTAGTCTTTATTAACTGGTTAAACTCATGAAACAGCAATGCAGACAAATTGCAGAAAGTAGTTCCGAGCATGCGTCGCAGAGTTGAAAGGTTTTCGAGTCTAGACTTGGCTACACCATATTAGAACAATAATCCCTAGGACTCTACTATATCTCTGAACAGATTTTGCTGAACAATGTGTATAATGAGCCCTTTTTAAAAACAGAATGGAAAGATAAATGCACTCTTTTTTTCTGAAAAAAATAAGAAAACAGACTGGGGTTAATGAATTTTTCGACGGTACACTTTGTGCGTTTCAAACATATTATTATACTTTCACGTCATTTTAATTCACCCGAAACTAGTTGCAATTGATTTTGGTGGTTTTGTCTTTTTCCTTTCTTTCCGTATGTCAAAAACTATTCTTCAAAAATAACATCTCAATGAATCAGGCTAAATTTGATAGATACGTTGAGTTTCAGTCCTCTATCATTTGACTAGAAATAAGAAAACAGCATCTTTGAAACAAAAACAACGAATAGTAATGACAGATAAGAACAAAGATCTAAGTTACCAGGTGGTTAGGGCGCTCGAATCGCAATCTGCTGGTCGCGGGTTCGAATCCCCGTCACACCAAACATGCTCGCCCTTTCAGCCGTGGGGTGTTATAATGTAACGGTTAATCCCACTATTCATTGGTAAAAGAGTAGCCCAACAGTTGGCGGTGGGTGGTGATGACTAGCTGCCTTCCCTCTAGTCTTACACTGCTAAATTAGGGACGGCGAGCGCAGATAGCCCTCGTGTAGCTTTGCGCGAAATCCATAACACAATCCATTTATGATCTTGCACGATCGTTTTATTAAACATTTTCATGACATTTTGTTAATTAAATATCTGTGACAGACTTGAAATAATATATTTCATGTTTTCTCAGATAGGTTTTCGTAAAGTATTGTCGATAATGTTGTGTATGACGGACGTAATCTTTCTTTGATCTGGGATCAGAAAGGGTTTAGAAGTGAAGATTGTACCGAAAGATTCTGCTTTATCAGATTTTCAAACCTCTTGCTGAAACTATAGTGATGTACTAGAAATTTAATTTTTATAAGGGAGTGAGGAGAGCCAATAGTCTTCTAACACTGGATAGCATGATGACCGATTTGCTTGGCCAGTTTCTTAGTAGCCAGTTAACTCTTTGGCAGTTCTATGTAAAAGTCTTGTAGCCCCCCAGTAGCACAGCGGTATTTTTGCGGACTTACAACGCCAGAAATTGGGTTTCGATACCCGTGGTGGGCAAAGCACAGATAGCCCATTGTGTAGCTTTGTGCATTATTACAAACAAACAAAAGTCTTGTATCTATGTTAACATTCGTTATTGTCAATTCTCTGTATGATTTTACAATTCAGTAAAACTGAAATGATAAACTATACTTATAAGTTTCTTACACAAAAATTTAAAATAAGTTTCTATTTTCTTGGGTTATATTTAATGTTTTATTCTAGCTAAAAAATCCTTGGTTGACGGATCCTCCATTTCGTTTCGGAACCATTCCTCACGGTAACACAGAGGCTGTCCTCGAGGATAACAAACCTGAAATGCACAAATATATGAAGAACTTCAACCGGTCCTCAGTGAATCAAGGAGTTAAAGCCGTTAAAAAAGGGTACGACTGTTTATATAAGCCATGAATAATCGGAATAGCTGTATGTGTTTTATAAAAACAGTGTTCTCTACGCAACTGTCAGTTGTCTAGTGAACAAAGTCTCATTCGTAACAGGTAAATATTTGGTATTGTAGATGACAAAGTTTTATTTGTCAACTTTATTCCAATAACTTGTCACCTAGTTCGAGTAAACACATGAATTATTAATGGAGATTGCTTGGCAGAACTGTAAAGTAGCTGCAGGTATGTTTCCACATTTATTAGTTACTTACTTCTACCAAACAGTTTTGACTATATTTTCGGAGACGATAAAGCTAGAACCCCATAGGCAATAGTGTTGCTCTCTTGGAATACAAAATCTTTAAAAGCCATGCAGAAAACCAAAGAAACGTTCCTTCTGCACTCAAACAGTCAAAAGCATTGGAAGTGGTAGTTCAAATTCTTCTGTATTTAATAGGAAAAAAAAACGTTATGTTTAATTCAAGAATTCTCAAAATCAAGAAAACGTTGCAGTAGAACATTACGAAAATGTTGCCTTTACCACAAGTAAACGAGGATATCATGTAAGTTTCTTTTCAGAAACAATACCTTTTTAAGTACTATGTAATGCATTGAAACTAAGTGTGACCTGAAAACGTCTTGAACACATTACCATAAAATCTGGAGAAGCTGTGTATCTTCGTCCTCTTAAATCAAAGTATTTTCATGATGGTTCGGTTGAAAATAAACAGAGGTTGCATCTATCAATTCTATCAAATTAGGCTAATGTAACTATTTGTATTAGTACCATGAATCACGTTCTTATAAACATTGTATCAAACAGCATGGTTTATAAAAAAATTCCATCAATACCTAACAATATTATTTTTTGATTACATATAAAATGCAACTAATTCGGAAATTCGAATTTCATACATAATTTATTGTTATCGACGTTTCGGCTTACGCCTTCACTGTGATGACGTAGTTTTCATAATCTTAAAATCAGTTTTTTGTATAAAAACAACTACAATAACACATAAAAATATAATTTTAGATGCAGATATTTACTTTTAAAATGTAATTTCTCTGATTTGGACTGGCAATATAATCAATCAGAATAAAAGATCTGTATAAAGTTGAACTATATATATATATATATATATATATATACAAGTCGACTCTGCTCCGTAGGGAGTTGGATGCCTTTATCTAT